TAGTCTCACTCATTACAGCATATATGATAGACAACTGCTGAGGTTTTAGTGGGGGGTTGGGTGTCTTTGGGTTGCATCAAACGGTGAAGAATTGTTGTCTGGGGTCGAAGGGCTGTGCCTACTATGACCGGTTGTAACAGTCGTGAAACCGCCTCAGAGACTACTTTAACGTAAGAAATGGCCTTTTAAACTTCGGATTGCCCTTCTTGTGGCCGTCACTTGTTCACCCAGGCTTGCTTTACTTAATAAAATAATTCGGGTATCCATTGGCCCGAAATAGGTCATGAAGTATTGTCGTTCAGTTCTTTTTTTCGGCTGGTGTGCTGCAGTGTGTTTAAACTCTTTGGAATAGAGTACGGACACAGCTGATTTTGTGTGTGTGTGTGAGAGAGAGAGAGACTGGTGTAGGGGTGTCAGCGGTGGGTTCACGTGATGGTCGTGGTGGTCGCTCACTTGCTTGCAGGTGAGACTACGCCTAGCGTCCACTTGCTGGCACCTAACTCTCACCTGTGGCTCCACGTAGCTGGGCACTGCTCAGCGGCCACACTCCGGGCAACCATCTCGACCGGCGGGCTAAACCAGGTGAGGGTATCCGTGCGTGCACCTGCACACGCGGTACTGTGGTCTTAGCTGGCCGGATGGATCTTCGCGTCGACATCGTCGAGACGAGGCTCTGCCTGGACCATCGCAGGAGGCCACCAGGTAAGTTCTTCTTCAGGTAAGTGAATTTCCCTTGTTTCTTCCTTGTCTGTTGAAGTTTCGTGCCGCGTGCTGCTCTTGCTGCCTGCCCTCTATATGCTAGTCTGTCTGTTAATAGCTAGATGAAACTTTCGATGCCTGCTGCGACTGTCTGTCTGTCAGTCTATGCCTCTCTCTGCTAATAGCTAGGTGTTACGATGCTTGACTTTGAGTGGTGCCCTCACTTTTGCCTCTGACTGATGACTGTGTCCGCTTGTCCACTCTAGTTCTAAGTCCCATAGCGTTTGGTTGTGTGTATGCTCTCTCCTACCCACAGGAACACCAACTGAGGACCTGGAACACCAACTGAGCCCAACTGAGCACGACGGAATTATTCTGCGCTCCAACTGGGACAATTTCGACTTGGTTACCATTCCACAGTTACAGTCTCTGATATTGATACTGGAACCGTACGTACAGAATTACTTTGTGCATTTTGGAATATTTTTTCACGCATCGAAATTCGCCAGGAACCTGGATTAAGTGCAATTTGTTTATCAGCACGGTTCAGCTGACAACGCAATGGGCTACGCAACCGATTTACGGATATACAGCCTAGAAAACCAATCGCTCAAAATCCTTCAAGGTCAGCAGTTATTCAAGTCCCACGAGATCTGGAAAGGGCTACGTCGCTTCTGATTAAATTCAACAAAATTTATCGGATTTTAAGTATTTTTTCGCTTATTGAGTTTTGAATACTCACTTTAATTCATCATATATAAGCCGACATATTCGTTATGACATCGAAAGCGAAATTATACATATTATATCACGTCGAAGTTTATGGATTCTCAGCAAGCTAACTGTAGTAGTACGGCCAGCGACGGCACCTCTTTGGAAGATAAGTCCGGTGAGTTGTCCTTCGCATCCAGAACCTGTGC